CCCCAAAACCCCAAAACCCCATCATCATATTAAATTAAAGGAAAAGAGATAAATTAGATAGGTAATAATAATAAAATTAAATTTAGCCTGGAATCCATTTGAATATTTAAATTGATAAAATTTCAAGACATCATTTGGCAGCCCGGAGGAGCTATTGATATCACTCTTCCAATGGGCGATTCATCTATCATTTATAGGTAATTTTTCTCCTATTCTCGATCCTCTAATTTCTTTATGATCTTTTCTCTAATTTTATCTGATGTCAAAGGCGTTTCAACTATTGTAGTAAATCAATGACTGATTATCCATTTAATAAACTTACTGAAATCATCAAATCCTGCTTCTATACAGCTATTCTATATACTTTCATCTGCAAAAGCTGAAAGTGCAATCATAACTGGGGGTTACTAAAGGAAATCATCAGACTGATCGTTGTGAGCTTTAACATTGAAAATATCTTGAATTCCTTGAAATCCGTTAAATCTTATCTTTTTGCAAGCCTCAATACCCCCCATTCTATTTTTAAGTTATTGAAAAGCAAACTTACATTGGCATATTGAGGTCTAAGATTATAGCATCATAACTTTTGGTTTTAGATTTATTCACAGCTACTAGTCTACATTATTATAAGAAAAAGTTAAAATTACCCATTTTCTGCATCATCTACTATAAAGTCAGATTATTGAAGAATTCTCATCATTATCATCAATTAAAATACCTCATCATTAGCTATCAATACTGAATACTTCTTGTGCCTTTCTATGGTGTTATTCATATGCAACCCATTAGAATAGGCAATTGGAGTAAGTGCCTAATATTCACTGTATTTAGATTAAGCTCTTTCTGAGGTCTGTTCTTCTACACCAGGTGGAACCAATAATTAGCTTTGATTCTGAAAATGAAAATTTTGCTTTGGAATATGTTATGAACACTCCTCCGCATATGGATTAAAGCTCTTAAAGTTTTTCATACGTTCTAAAGAAATTATATTAAGTGTTGGGATATTTACTATCTTAGCGAAGCGAAGTTTAAATGGAATGATGCTGCTTAGAAAACGCATCATTTATCATTTATGTTTAGCCATGATTTTATACAAAACTGCTGTTCTCTGCCTCTTCTATAGTTACCTCTGGACTAGTATCATCTTAATATATCCTTTTTAGCATTCTCTATGCTCTATCTTTCTATATAAAGGTACATTTAGTCTTGAGACTCATCATAAAGGTTGTACCAACATCTTTTTCACTTTCAACCTTTACTGATCCACCCATTAACTCTATTAAAGATTTACAAATGCTTAAGCCAAGACCAGTTCCTCCTTAATTGATTTTTTTATGTTCGTCTAATTTCCCGAAATTTACAAAAATTTTGTTGATATTTTCCTTAGAAATGCCACAGCCTGAATCTTTTATCTGAATCTTAAAATCAATATAGTATTGATTGTTTTCCATATCTATAGTCTAGAGCTTATTAATATCATTATTGTTAAGACTGACACTTCTACTTCTCTAGGTCTTCACCTCCATATCCTTTGGTTTATTATTTTTTATATTCTCAAGAGCAGCATATTCCTTTGACTTCTAAATCTTCTATTTATCTAAAAGTACAGTTTGAATCCTTATGTTACCATTTTAAGGTGTAAACTTTATTGAATTAGAAAGAAAATTGAGCAGAATTTATAAGTATCTATTTTGATCACCCCAAACTTAAACAAAATATCCCAGAACTTCTTCATCGAATTCATTGAAGATTTGAATGTTCTTTTACTAAGCTTAAAACTCTATAGTATCTATTGCTTTCTGGACTGTTTCAAATATATTAAACCAAACAGGATTCAAAATTATTCGAGGATCACCTTTTGACTTATCATCTTTTGAATTTTGCATTTTCGCTAAATCTAGCAGATCATTGATTAAGTTTAGTAGCATTGTTGAACCAAACAAAGAATTTTTCAAGAGTTGTTCTGCATAAGACCGTTTATAATCATTCATAAGGATTCCTTTTTCTTTAAAATGCATTAAAACTTCTTGTGCTAATTCGTTTGTAGGACTGTTTTATCCTGAGTTATAATACTAAGGTTAATGACCATTCTAATTTTCTATCATGAAAGCCTCAGTAATCTGACAATGCCCGAAAGATATATCATTTCTTGGTTAGTCTCTATTAAACAACTATCTGCTCGAGTATCTATTGGATTATAAATTTGGATGTCCAATAGTCTCATGTTCCAGCTCAAATTATATCATTGGTCTCTGAGATTACTATGCGTCATGCTATATAATTGATAGGCTGATACCTGGTAAATCTGAGAGCTAAACAAATCTTCTAAAGTTTTGCTTATCCAAGAAAATTGAAGAAGATTCATTAATTTCCATTTCTTTTATCTGATTTATAGAGGTTTTACGCTCTGAAATCAATTCATCAGGCATATCTATATCATCTAGAGTATGAGGAGGGGATTCACCGAACTTAAAGTTTTAGTTCTTGCTTACCTTGAAGGAGACGCTGTCCTCTCCCTTTTATTCTTCCTAAATCACATTTAACTCTTTGGTTAATAATTTAGAAAATGGGTTACTCTAGTTTCTTGATTGCTATTATTACAGCTATTAATCAAAAGAAGGCAAATTATTTCCACATTTTATGCTAGAAAATGGTCCAAAACTTCCAAATGGATTTGAAGACTATGTAAATTTCTTATTGTAGGAGTTAGTGTTGATTTTTGTGCTCTCTCTTAGCATTGCGTGCTTTTCACCAAAAGACATTGAACCCTTAAAATTGGATCGGTTATTCGGTCCAGATTGCTTATTTAGATCCAAAAGATTAAGCACTTCTTTCAAGGCAAAATCAATTGAATTTGTTGGATTTCTCATATCATGAATCACCATACTGAGAAATATTCGTGTATTTTGCAAAGTTGTTTCAAGTTTTTAGATTTTCTACTTATAATCTGGTCTCACATTTTAGTTCGATTGTAATGTTTTTAACCCTAATGCTTTAATGTTTTTACCAATGCTGGGATTTGAATGCTGCTATGTTTAAGATTGTTTTATAGGTGTTTTATCAGGATATTCATTAATTTCCTAATTAGCATTAGATGGGCCGAAGGTTCTAGATACTTCCTGGCTCTTTCGGTACAGCTCTAAGCTCTTCAGATAATTCGTTTCTAGCTTTTGGTTAGATCCGGTCATTTCGAAATTTTGAGATCTACTATTATTTAAGTTTAACTCTAATAAGCTTTCAATTCTCTCTTTATCAGAAGTTTTACGACTGTCCACTTCAGGAAAAGTCATTTTTATCTAAATTGATTCTTTCAGTTCGTCTATAAAATCAAAGCTTTCGCTCGAGTTTATAGGATTTTTCTTTACTAATCTGCAATCTTTTATAGATACCCTTTTCCTATTTTACGTCTAGCCCTATTGCAGATTCGCTACTTCTATTTCATATTTAGAGGCATAAGCAAGGTAAATGTGGATGCATAGTAGAATTTCTATTACAAGTAACCCTATTTTAAAAATATGAGAATGATATACTTCCAATTATCCGATGCATGTGATATTTGCAATAATACTTAATAACTCTGATACAAGAATTGAAAGCAATGTTATTACAGAAGCTCTTCCCCAGAATGTTGATAATTGTTTAGATGATTATTGATCTTCAAACTTCACATTGGATTTAGTAAGGCCAATTTCAGTTTCTGGAAAAATAAAAGGGTTATCATTATTTTTTTCTACTTATGCATCCCTCATCACTCTTTAATTAATTATTCAATATGAAATATTTTATGGAATTAACAGGCTTTTCTCAAGATCCCTTAATTAATTATAAATCAATTTTTATTTGTAAAAAACCTATATTCTCAACCACTAACTAACACCTGAAAATGGCATAGTGGGGTTTTGGGGTTTTGGGGTTTTG